CTGAACCAGGACCGGTTCTTCCACTCCCAGGGGAGAGCCAGATTGAGTTCCTGGTTCCAGGCCTCAACTCATCCCTTCCTGGATATGCCAGGCATTTGGGGAATGAACCCATGTGCCAAATAGAACGCAGGCATCTCAGGTTGCAGCTTTGCATGCTACACCACCATGTCAGCCCTCAAAAGGTCACTCTTAAGGTTCTAATTAAAGAACTCCTATTGTGTGGGATCATATATATTGCATATTCAAGCAGTATCCTAGTCTGGTCAGTATTAATGATGAACTAGGATTTCAGGATATCAATTTCTGTAGATAAGAAATGTCTTACTGAATTAGCTGAGAGGCAGGGGTGGGTAGTTCAATTTGCTGGTTTACTCCCAAAGTGCTTGGGATGTGTTGGAGTGGCAGGAGTTGAGGGCTGGAGCTGCGAACTCCAGCTGGCTCTCCCCCACCCCCCCCCGTGGGTGCAAGAGGCACAATTCCTCAACCCGACGTGCTTGCTCCAGTGCATTCATTAGCAGGAGACTGGAGGAAGGCGCTGAAGCCACACACAGGAAACCCAGGTACTCTGATACAGGTATGAGCAGCCCAATTCCATTCTTTAACCAGGCTAAGCCTCTGACCCCATTTTTTCCAATTGAACCCTTATCTGCACTGACTTGAATAGTAATCTGTGTATTTTACCGAGATATATTTCTATATATAATCTGTTTAGAAAGTAAAATTGAAGATGTTAAAACTTGTTGAAAATGCTTGCTTGATCCTTTGTTCTGACATTGGCTTCATCTACCTGATGTTATCTTGAGCATCATGATGATTTCCTAGGTCCCAATTAGTTTTAGCAGATTACAACATTGGGGGAGGGGCTGGTGCGGTAGCCTAGTGGCCAAAATCCTCGCCTTACATGTGCTGGGATTCCATATGGGTGCCAGTTAGTATCCAGTTTGCCCTACTTGCCCTCTTGGGGCCTGCACCCACATGGGAGACTCAGAGAAAGCTCCTGGCTTTGAATCAGTTCGGCTCCGGCTGTTGCAGCCACTTGAGGAGTGGATGAAAGATCTTTCTCTGTCTCTCCTTCTCTCTGTACATCTGAGTTTCTAATAAAAAATAAAGAAAAATCTTTAAAATAGTTTGGAAGAAGCTTTCAAGCGAGAATTGGCAAGAAAGTAGTCACCCTGCAGTCAGTCACGTACCATTCCAGAATTCAATTGGATCTGTTTATTTGAAAGGCAGCATTACAGAGAGGTAGAGAGAGAGATTGAGAGAGAGATACCATCTCTTATCTACTGGCTCACTCTCCAAATGGCTGCAAAGCCTGGAGCTAGACTTTTCTGAATCCAGAAGCTTCATCTGGGTCTCCCACATGGGTGTAAGGGCTCAAACCCTCTTCTGCTGCTTTCCCAGGTTCATTAGCAAGGAACTGGATCAGAAGTGAAGCGCGCAAGATCGGTGAGATGTGGCGCCATAGACAATGGCTTACCTCTATGCTACCGCACCGGTCCCAGGGAGCACTTTTTTTTTTTTTTAAGATTTATTTATTTTTATTACAAAGTCAGATATACAGAGAGGAGGAGAGACAGAGAGGAAGATCTTCCGTCCGATGATTCACTCCCCAAGTGAGTGCAACGGATCCAAAGCCAGGAACCAGGAACCTCTTCCAGGTCTCCCACATGGGTGCAGGGTCCCAAAGCATTGAGCCATCCTGGACTGCTTGCCCAGGCCACAAGCAGGGAGCTAGGTGGGAAGTGGAGCTGTTGGGATTAGAACTGGTGCCCATATGGGATCCCGGGGTGTTCAAGGCAAGGACTTTAGCCGCTAGGCCACGGAGCTGGGCCCTAGCATTTTTTTTGAAACCTTTAACTTTTCTTGCCTCAGGATAAACATCATGGATGGGTCATAAAAGTGTTCTTTCATGCAATACTGTTTTTAAAACATGTTCATTTATTTTGATTGAAACGCAGATTTACAGAAAGAAGGAGAAGCAGGACTTGTATCCACTGGTTCATTCGCCAAAATGGCTGCAAGGGCTAGAGCTGATCTTATCTGAAAGCAGGAGCCAGCAGCTTCTTCCTGCTTTCCCATTTAGGTGCAGGGTCCCAAGGTATTTCCAGGCCATAATAGATGGGAACTAGAGCAGCTAGGACTTGAACTGATGCCCATATAGGATGTTGGCGTTTGAACATGGAGGATTTTTCAGTCAGATACTGTGTTTGTTTTTAAGGGTATTATATTTACATGTAGGTATATTTAGGACATACCTTAATATGCAAAGTTTGGATTATTGGCTAGGGTTTCAGGATATTAGTTTCTATGGATCGTAAGAAATGTTTTCTTTGAGAGAAGGAGACAAATGTCCAGAGGTTCGTTCTGCTTGTGCACTCCCTGCATTCCTTTTTTTTTTTTTTAAGATTTATTTATTTTTTATTACAAAGTCAGATATACAGAGAGGAGGAGAGACAGAGAGGAAGATCTTCATCCGATGATTCACTCCCCAAGTGAGCGCAACCGCCAGTGCTGCGCCGATTCGAAGTCGGGAACCAGGAACTTCTTCTAGGTCTCCCACTTGGGTGTAGGAACTCAAGGCTTTGGGCCGTCCTGAACTGCTTTCCCAGGCCACAAGCAGGGAGCTGGATGGGAAGTGGAGCTGCTGGGATTAGAACTGCCGGGATTAGATCCTATATGGAATCCCGGGGTGTTTAAGGTGATGACTTCAGCCACTAGGCCACGGCGTCAGGCCCACTCCCCGCATTCCTAACTGCAGTGACCTAGACGGAGGTGAGCTGGAAGTTGTCAGTTCCTCCAATGATACACGTGATTTCTAGCACTTAAAAAATTGACAACTACAGGTAGATTGATTAATCTAAGTATTTTAATTCCCTAATTTTCTGTGTATTATTTTAATAATGAGACATTTATGGAGCATATCAGGAATTTGAGAATTAGCTTGGCTTTTTAAAGTTTGATTCTTTTTAAAAGATCTATTTTATTTCACTTTTGCAGTGGAATGACAGTGATCTTTGGACTGCTGTTTGACCTCCCCGAATGGCTGCAGAGTGCCGTTGTGGGCCAGGCCAGAGCTGGGAGCCAGGCGCTCCTAGGTCTCCCATGTTGATGTCAGGAATTTCAGTACTTGAGCCAACATTGTCTGTTTTCCAGGCACGTTGGCAGTGAGTTGGACTGGAAGCCGAGTAGTTGAGATTCACTCAGCTAACACTCTGCTAAGTGATGCAAATTTTGCAAGCTGTGACTTTATCTGCATCAAGTTGTATGGCAACTAGGATTTTAAAAAAAAAAAGTGAATGTAGGTTTTGTTGTCTTATTGTCCCATTCATATCTGAGTATGTTGGCTCATGTCCAGAAATTTGCTTGCATTAAATTTTTTTTTTTTTTTGTTTGAAAGGCAGAGTGGGAGATAGAGAAAGAGAGGGAGGACGAGTGAGGGAGAGGCAGCCAAGAGACAGACAGACTGAAAGACATCTTTTGTTTGCTGGCTTACTTCTCACAAGTCATGTCAGTTGAGGCTGGAGCAGGCTGAAGTCAGTAGCCCAGACTTTATCCAATCCTCCCATTTGGGCTGCAAGTACCAAGCACCTGAGCGCTTTCGCTACCTTCCAGGATATGCACCAACAGAAACTTAGAATAAGAAGTGGGTCCAGGGCTGGAACCCAGGCACTTCTGCGTATGATGTGGGTGTCCTGAGTGACATCCTAGCTGCTGTGCCAAATGCCCATTCTATTTGTCTTTTTAAAAACCGAGTTTGTGGGGCCAGCATCTTGGTGTATTAGGCTAAGATTCTACCTGAGGTGCGTCCTGTATGGGCATTGGTTCCTGTCTTGGCTGTTTCCCTTGTCATCCAGCTCCCAGTTCATGGCTTGGGAATACAATGGAAGATGGATCAAGTCCTTGGGCCCCTGAACCCACTGTAGAGATCTGGAACAAGCTCCTGGCTTCGGATCAGTTCATTTCTGGCCTTTGCGGCCGTTTTAGAGTGAACCAGCATATGGAAGATTTCTGTCCTCTCTGTAACTCTGCCTTTCAAATAGAAATAAATCCTTTTATTATTATTATATTTTGATGATCTTTACGTAGTTGATTAGGGTGCAAAGGGTCAAGGGTTCCAGGAAAGTGGGTAAGACCATTGTTTCCACAGTCTCTTATTTCCTTCTTGTATCTGGGGGAAGAGGGGAGATAGAGAAGCCACGTGGAGCTTGCCACCCATCCCAGGTCCCCGATGTGAGGCATGCTCCGAGGGTCCTCCTCAAGTGGTTTTGATAGTGCAACAGTTATGAATTGCTGCTCATCTCGCCACTCCCGTCGCGATGAAATCTCTCCAGATTTCACTGCCTGACATAGTCCATCTCAGGTCTCAGTCCTCTCTGTAAACTCTGCCTTTCAAATAGAAAGAAGTCTTAACAAAACAAAACCAAGCAACTTCAAAAAAAGTTCGTGTCACAGTGAATTTTGGCAATGTGTTTCTGTAGTTTAAAATTCGCTGTTTATAAAATAATCGATACTCTTTTATAAAAAGAAGGGAGCCTTTATGAGAAGAAAAACATTATGCCTTATTGTACAAATGTGTAGTGTTAGCCCTCATGGGATTTGGGTGAGGGTCTGAAAGCAGTTCCTTCATTAGTGTACTTATCATCTGTATATAATCTAGATCTCCTGGTATTCTTGATCAGATCAACATCACTACTGAATAAATAAGTAGTTTACACATCGCTTGTGTGCTGTTTTGATCTTCAGCATACTTAGTTTTGTTGTAACATTCATCCCGTGAATGATTTAGTCAAAATAGGTGAAAGTAATTTATGGTACCCTTGCTGCTGAATGTTGTCATATCATGCTTACTTTCCAAGGGTTTTTTTTTTTTAATTTTTTCAAATTTGATGCAAACATGAAATGCTTAAGATTGTATATTTTTGGCTCCGTGATAGAGCAGTTTGGTAATGAGATTGATTGATAGTTTTAAACCACAACTCTGTTTTCGGTATGCATTTTAGGTGGCAGCCAATGCACACATTCCTCCAGACTACCTCCTTAAAATCTGCGAGCGGATTGGCCCCTTACTAGATAAGGAGATCCCTCAGAGTGTTCCTGGGGTACAGACGTTACTAGGCGTCGGTCGGCAGTCTCTGCTACGAGATGCCAAAGGTAAGACTCTCCGAGTGTACAACTGCGACAAAGGAGGAAAGAGTGACCCGTTTTTGGTTGAGTAAATGTATCTGTGCTTTCTTGAACTGTTTAAGGGAGAGGGCGGGAGGCAGGGGGAAGGGGATGCAAGGGAGGAAGAGAAGAAGCACTGGCCCAAGAGCTCCCATCTGCTGGTTCATTCTTCAAATACCTGCAATAGCTGAGGCTGGAGCCACAGGCCCTGTGGGTGATGTGGGAGACTATAATTACTGGAGCCATGACCTTCCTCTGCCTTGGTAGGAAGCTGGATGGCGACTTGATCAAAAGGGCCTGTGATGTGGGAGTCAGGTGTCTTTAGAATAAATGCCTGCTCCCCTGTGCTTTTCTAGATACTTCTCCCTACTTCCCTCCCTTCCTTTCCTGCTTCTTTCCTTTCCTGCTTCTTTCCTTTCCTGCTTCTTTCCTTTCCTTTCCTTTCCTTTCCTTTCCTTTCCTTTCCTTTCCTTTCCTTTCCTTTCCTTTCCTTTCCTTTCCTTTCCTTTCCTTTCCTTTCCTTTCCTTTCCTTTCCTTTCCTTTCCTTTCCTTTCCTTTCCTTTCCTTTCCTTTCTTTCTCTCTCTCTCTCTCTCTCTCTCTCTCTCTCTCTCTCTCTCTCTTCTCTTTCTTTTTTCAGAATTATTTCTTTGAAAGTCAGAGTTCACAGCTAGATAGGGACACACACACGCAGAAGGATCTTTGTCCACTCTCCTCACGTGAGCAGCAGGCCCCCAAGCACTTGTGCCATCTTTGGTGGTTTTTCCTAGGCCTTTAGCAGGAAGCTAGATCTGAAGTGGAGCAGCCAGGACATGGATTGGCATCCATATGGGATGCTGGTATTGAGGTTGAGGCTTAATGTGCTGTGCTACAACAAAAACCTCTAAAAACTGATTTTCTTTCATGGTTTTTCTTATCTTGCCAATGTTGCTTGTAATTTCTTTTCCTGCAAGAAAATCTTTAGGGGCATACATAGAAGCTCCCACTGTGTAAATGAGCGAGCATGACAGAGGTTAAAAAATACAAATTCCTTTGTAATCGTGAAATACAGATTTCAAAGCTGGCTGCTATGTTAAATACAGTTTGATGCTTTAAAGCACTCATTGTGTTTCAGTGCTCTTTATTTGGATAATATGAACCTCACCAAATTGTACATTTCAAAACATGTGAAATTATTTTTATAGTTTTCATAATTGAGATTATTGATAGAGAACTGGGGTTGGTGCTGTGGTCTAAGCAGGTAAAGCTGCTGCCTGAGGCACTGATATCCCACATGGGTGCTACTTTGAGTTCTAGGATGATCCACTTCCAAAGCAGCTCTCTGCTAATGTGCCTGGGAAAGCGGAGGAGTCTGGTCTAAGAGCTTGCTGCCCTGCACCCACGGGGGAGACCCAGAGGAAGTTTGCCATTCTTGGATCTGGATTGGGCCAACCCTAACCATTTCAACCATTTGGGGAGTAAACCAGCAGATGGAAAAACTCTGTTTTGTTTCCCACTCTGTAACTTTGCCATCAAATAAATAAATAAATCTTATTTTTGAAAAAGTCAGGAGCTTCTGTGGGGGTGAGATTGTGGCGCGGCAGGCTAGGCCTCTGCCTGAGGCACCATCATCCCACATGGATGCTGATTCTAGTCTTGCTGTCCTGCTTCTCATCTAGCTCCCTGCTAATGGAGCTTTCCCTGCTTGTGGCCTGGGAAAGCAGCAGAGGATGGGCCCCAAGGCCTTGGGCCTCTTCACCCTTGTCGGAGACCCGGAGGAAGTTCCTGGCTCCTGGCTTTGCATTAGCTTAGTTGTGACCTCTGCAGGCATTTGGGGAGTAAACCAACAGATGGAAGATCTACACACACTCTCTCCCTCTCTGTCTCGCCCTCTCTCTGTGAAATCTGCCTTTCAAATAAAAATAAATAGGTTTTCAGAAAAAAGAACATTTATTGTTCACTGTCATTTTCACCACAGTGCTATTATTCATTTTTAAAGGTTTCTCCCTGAAGTTTTGCATGAAATCTTAATATATAAAACATTTGAAGTGCTATTTTATGAATACAAAAATGTGAACACTGGCATTAAGAATATCTTCTTGGAGTAAATAAATACTTAGGTTCTAGTAGCCAGTTTATGTTTTGTGTTATTAGCATGCAAGGTTTAGATACCTCATTTTGTAATTTAAGGAAATTCTTCAATTGAGTTAACTGGAAGTTTTCAAGAAAGTAGTGGAATACTTTTGAAGAAAAATAATTTGGACTACTTAGTATTTGCTGGAGTTTTTGAAATCTGAACATTAACGTAAGATGAAGCCTCAACTCTTCTTAGTCTTTTATCATTTGATATGTGTTGTAAGCTGTCGTAGGCATGCCTGGGTGTTCTATAACATATTCATTTCCTGAGTATAAATATGCATGAATTTTCTATGTCATATTTGTCCTACATTCAAATCCTGGCTTATACAGTCAAATCCTGGCTTAGAGATAAACAGACATGTTTAAGCCTAAAGATTAAGGATGAAAACTTAAAAAACTGTCTAATATATGACATGTTTATGTAAGATTCAAACATGTATAAAATAAAAGCTTTAGCTTGAGAGTAACATTGAAATAAAATGCCCTGCTAATATGGTAAGGTGCTAGTATTTATCAGTCATAATGCTGTACAACATGCTTAAATGCATATTACTTTATTGTGGTTTCAATCATCCAAAATATATGCCAAAGATGAAACTGAAATCAGAATTTGCCTCTGGGGCCAATTTGAAAACCACTATTGTATTTCTTGAATAACTTGCATTCTTTCTCTTATCTAGATTGTAAGAGTACACTATGGAATGGGTCTGCTTTTGCAGCTCTACATAGAGGCAGACCTCCAGAACTACCTGTAAATTATGTGAAACCTCCAAATGTGGGTGAGTAATATCCATGTGAATTACAAACGTATTCTTGATTCATTCCTTTCTGAACTCATTACAAAGCCAAGAAGAGGTACCAGAATTAAATCTGAATTATAAGCCAACTGCTTACATTTCTTAACAGTATTCATTGTTGGGCCAGGTTCTTAATGAATTTTTAACTTAAGGAACGTATAAACATGGTTTTGGAAAAACGGTGACTGCTTTTTAATTACTTTGTTCCTTTCTTAGCAGAAGTGTTTTCTTTTTTTATGTTGTACAGGTGTTTTTAGCCATATGGTTGTGCATTTACATTTCTATGTGCTGAATTTCCCAAGGACTTTACAGGGAAATTTGTGAAGAGAACTTTCAGAAAGAAACAAGAGTACATTCTGCTTGTATCTGTTTGCCTGCCTTGTAACGATGTTAGATGTTTTTCTATATGTTTGTTGAAATGTCATCCTTCCTGTTTCTAGTTTACTGAAATTTCGCATCTTATTCAGATTATTCTTAAGACAACTCTGGTCCTACCGTTATGAAGAGAAATTAATAGTAGATCCCAGGGAGATACTGTGAACAAAACTATTTACATTGAATTTAGCATTCATAAAGTATTTACAAAACAAGGGTGTAGGCTGAATAAATTCTACTCTGCTTCCCTATGTTCTTACTCTTCTAGAATATATGTAATTTTATGTAGTGTCTGTTGCTTATAGAATATGCCGTATGAAATAAATGAAATTTCAATTGAGAAGTAGCAATGTTTTTTCAACAAATATTATTTTAAACAGTAAGTTTTTAGAACTTATTTAGCCCCAGAGGTTAAATACATTGACACTAGAAAGAAGTTTTTTTTTTTTTTTAAAGATTTGTTTTTATTGGAAAGTCAGATACACAGAAAGGAGGAGAGACAGAGAAAGATCTTCCATGTGCTGGTTTACTCCTCAAGTGGCCACAATAGCTGGAGCTAAGCTAATCCAAGCCAGGAGCTTCTTCCGGGTCTCTTGCATGGGCCCAGGGTCCCAAGGTCTTGGGCATCCTCTACTGCTTTCTCAGGCCACAAGCAGGGAGCTAGAAGGGAAGTGAAGCAGCTGGGGTATGAGCTAGCACCCATATGGGATTCTGGCACATGCAAGACGAGGACTTTAGCCGTTAGGTTACCATGCTGGGCCTGACATTATAATTCCTAAGTAACTACTGTAAAGAAGATTCATAAGATTTCAAAAAGTAAACTCTATGAAACCAGCAGAAGGGAGCCCACATTGTTAAGCCTCAGCTGGAACATGAGCATCGGATCAGGTCCCGGCTGTTCCTCTTCTCATCCAGCTCTGTGCTAATACAGCTGGGACAACCGCAGAAGATAGTCCACGTGCTTGGGCTCCTGCCTTTAGGCTAACCCAGCTCTGGCTGTTTGGTGGCCATTTGGGGAGTGAACTGGTTAATGGAACCTCTCTTTCCCTCTCTTCACTGTCTGTCTCCCTCTATCTGCAACTCCGTTTAAATTAAATGTTTGTAATGTCACTTGTATTGATGCTTTCAAATTATTTGTGGAGGCGGGGGAGGGAGAGAGTGACAGAGCTTTCATCCACTGCTTTACTATGAAGCTGTGTGTGCAGAAGCCCAGTGCAGGGCTCCTGTTTGGCGGCAGGGACCCAAATATCACAGCCGGCATTTGCTGCCCTGCAGGTGCGCATAGCAGGAAGCTGAACTGGTAGTGTAATCTGAGAGTCTGAAGCTACAATTAAAACCCCTTTGCCAAATGTCTTCCTATTAAATTCTTATGATATTATTTGGGGAGGAACCTTTAAATAGAAATAATTCAATCATCATTTTCTTTTTTTTAAAGATTTATTTATTTTTATTACAAAGTCAGACATACAGAGAGGAGGAGAGACAGAGAAGATCTTCCATCCGATGAGTTACTCCCCAAGTAACCACAACGGGTGATGCTATGCCGATCTGAAGCTGGGAACCAGGAACCACTTCCGGGTCTCCCATGCAGGTTCAAGGTCCTAAAGCTTTGGGCTGTCCTCGACTGCTTTCCCAGGCCACCCACCAGCAGGGAGCTGGATGGGAAGTGGAGCTGCTGGGATCAGAACCGGCGCCCATATGGGATCCTGGCACGTTCAAGGCGAGGATTCTAGCTGCTAGGCCATGCCTCTGGACCCAGTCATTTTATTTTCATGTAATGCCTGCTAGTCAAGGTATTTTTTTCCTTGGCTTCTGGCTTTGGAGCAGCCCAGCTCTGGCTGTTAGAGCATTTGGGAAATGAACCAGTGGATGGAAGATATTTACTGTCTCTCCCTGCCTCTTTCTCTGGAACTGTGATTTTCAAGTAAAAAGAAATATTTAAAGAGAAAACAAAGCAAGGCAATGAATAGGTCAGGCTGAGTTGGAGATGATCAAGTAAGGAGATTTGGAAGAAGCCTCTGGCTCCCAGGTTCAGATCGACCTAGCTCTGGCCGTTGGCAGCTGTTTGCGGTATAAACCAGTGGATGGAAGATCTCTCTTGCTACTTTTGACTTTCCAATTAAAAGAATGAAATCTTTTTTTTTTTTTTAAGTTCTGTATGTTCAACACTAAAAGACACTGACAAAAAGACATAGTTAAATGAATACAGGGTGTAGCATGTCCTTGTATTAGAAAAACTCATTAAGATATCAGTTTCATTCCAAATAATCTATAAACTCATCAAAACAACCTTAGCAACATTATTTTCGAGGGGGAAAAAAGGGTTCCATAGGCAACAAAATATGGAAAACAGCTTTTTTTTTTAAATGAATGGAGAAAAATTGGGACTGCTAAATGTGGAAATCAGGTTTTTTTTAAATAATGGAGAAGAATTGGGGTAGTGTTGGGAAGCATCTGATTGCTCTGCTTCTGATCCAGCCTCCTGCGACTGCGCATGTGAAGGCAGCTGATGGCGGTGATGCACACAAGTCCTTGTTATGCATGCTGGGAGATTCAAATATGCCTCTGACTCTTGGCTTCAGCTTGAATCGGACTTGGATTTTGCGACCAGTTGGTTGAGAGAACTTGTGATGGAACACATTCTCCCTCCATCTGTATCTGTCTGTCTTTACGTAGTTACTTTTTTTGGAAAGACAAGTTGGGAAGAAATGAATGGGTTCAGTACTTCTTAGAACCTTTCAGGTGCTAAAATGCATTGGGAATCACTTTATGGAGAACATTGCCCAAGTGATTTAACTTTAGATACCCTCAATTCCTGAGGTTTTGGGAAACTGATTCTAAATCTCTGTTTGTAACAAAGAAACCTAAAGTCTAAAGAGGTTAGGTCATTGGCCTAGATTAAATTAGTTTGTTTTCCAAACAGCCTCCTTGTTTATGGTCCGATATTGTGATACTTCTTTGGGGTTTAACAGTTGTGTACTTGCAGAACATCAGTGATAGGTTAGCTATATTACTTTTATTGTTGTCAAATATATTCAGGTTTTAGTGATAAAAAAATAAAATTCTCCCTCTTTTTAAAGATTCATTTTATTACTATTTAAAAGAATTGCAGAGAGGAGGACAGAAAGAGAGGGGGCTTTTATCCACTGGTTCAGTCCCCAAATGGTCTCAATGGCTGGAGATGAGCTAGTCCAATGCAATAGCCAGGAGTTCCTTCAGGTCTCCCACATGCATGCAGGAGCCCAAGGACTCGGATCGTGCTCTGCTGCTTCCCAGGTCATCAGCAGGGAGCAGCTTCGACTTGATTCGGCGACCTTATGGGTATTGGTACCACGCGTGGTAGCTTAACTTGTTATTCCACAGCGTAAGATCTTTTATTCTCTGTTTCATGCCCCAAGTGGTCCCAATGATTAGAGCTAAGCCAGTGTGAAGCCAGGAGTCTGGAACCTCTTCTGGGTCTCCCACATAGATGCTGGGTCCCAACACGTTGGGCCATCCTTGACTGCTTTCCCAGGCCCCAAGCAGGGAGCTGCATGGGAAGTGGAGCTGCCGGGAGATGAACCGGCTTCGATATGGGATCCTGGAGCACATGCCAGTGAGAATTTAGCTACTAGGCTAATTGTGCCAAGCCCCCCCCCCCCCTTTTTTTTTAAAGATCTGTTTCAGCCATTTGAAAGGCAAAGTCACAGAGAGGCAGAGAAAGTATTTTTCATGTTCTGGCTCATCCCCCTCTCTGTGCCCCTGTGACTACAATAGCCAATGCTGCGCAAGGCAGAAGCCAGGAGCCAGAAGCTTCTCTGTGGTCTCCTACATGTGTCCAGGGTGCCAAGTAGTTGGGTCATCTGCTATTGCCTTCTCAGTTTCATTACAGGGAGTTGGGAAAGAAGTGGAGCAGCTCAAAGCAGGGTTCCCCTGGGATGCCTGTGTTGCAGGCAGCAGTTTAACTTGCTGTTCCACAACACCAGCCTGAAAATCATCCCTTTGTAAGTTTGTAGTACATTGAGTTTTGGTGGTATATAGGAGTATTTTCCTCTATGTAACCATTAAGGTAATAAAAATTACCATCAACCCCTCAATACTCCTTTCATAATCGTTCAAAACTACTATTCTTTCTTTGACTATTTTTGCCTTATTTGGAACATCATCTGAGTTAAATTTTATAGTATGTAGCCTTTTCTGCCTGTCTTTTTTGTCTTAGGCAACTGTTTTTGAGATACGTGTATGTCATTTTATGTATCGCTACTGAATTTATTTTTATTAGCAAATAGTGTTTGTGTTTTATGGATGTACCAAATTTGGTTCATTCATTCTTGAATTGATGCATATTTTGATCGTTTACAGATTTTGCCTATTGTCAGTTAAACTGGTTTAGATATTCATATGCAGGTCTTTACATAAGCATTTATTTTCAGTTATTTGTAACTGCCTGGATAATAACTATTAGATCATATAGTTTTTTAAAGCTATGTTTATTTTTATTGAAATGTCAGATTTACATATAGAAAGAGTGACAAAGATTTTCCATCTACTTAGTTATTCCCCAAGTGGCCGCAATGGCCAGACCTGAGCTGATCTGAAGCCAGGAGCCAAGAGCGTCTTTGGGGTCT